GAAGAGTAAAGGAGTTTTGGGGATAAACAGAAAGTCAATGTTTTGTCGCACCAACAATGTTTGCCAGATCTTTCACCTTTTGACTTCATTTTCCAAACTTGAAAAAAACCCACTTTTCAGGAAATCATAGGATCTGCCATGTTTCAGTATAAGAAGATTCATACTCAAAAATGTGTTCTAAAACAATCAAAAAATTGGATAAAAATATTAAGGACATGTGATTTAACCATAAGAGAATATCTAAGTGAAATCATGAAGACTAAATCTGAAAAGCCTTTTTTGATTCTTTCCGAGCACCGAGGACATTATCTATTGCACAGCCCTCATATTAATCGATCTGTCTAAGTCTGTTCATTTTCAGAATAATGTACCCTTTTTTGGTAGGTGGGATGTTAGGATTTAGGCCAGACCATTTCCGCCGTGTCAAGGGATATTCTAAGGATTTTGGGGGTTGGGGTGGCGAGGATGATGATATGGCACTGAGGTGAAAACGCATGGGAAAATATTAAGCATAGTTAATAATCATTTTAATATCACTGAATACAGGGTTTTTTATTTTCGATTCATCTTATTTTCGCCTCTTTATACCTGCAAACGATTTCGACCTACTAGTATTTTGAATACGCTCAGCCAGCTCTCCGTGTAAAACCCCAGTCACATTTCCAAAAACGACCAACGGCCGACGGGTTTTGGAGCAAAAATGGGCTTCTTCGGGTGACAGTCGGCAGTTTATCGGCCGTTGTCTTGCCCGATTTTGACCTCTTGTTTTGTCGGCCGACCATTTTTGTGTCCATCGGTCCAAGTTATAATTTTTTCTGCGTCGGTGGCCGATTCTTCAATTGAAGTTATCCGTCGACCAGCCTTCGATCATCGTCCGACCGTCGGGAGTTAGTTTATAAAGACGGTCTTCCGTCGTTCGACAATAACGGTGTTCATTATTTCGGCCGACGTTTAAAATCAAACTGTAGCTCAGAGCTCGATGATCGGGCGACGATTGGTCGACTTGTGAATATTTAACCCATTATGATACATAACACCAACCAAATTTTGATGCTTGGATTGAAATACATTTTTTGAACGGAAACAACTTAAAAATAATTATTCCATAAGATTTAAAGAAATATTAAATTTTCTTTGTTGCTTTTATGCAATTCCATACAAAATTGTTCACACATTTTCAATATTGAGTCACAAATTTATAGTATTCTGCCACTTTGCCTTGCAAACATTACTTGCGTCACCCATCTGAATATAGATCTATGAAAAATATTGCTGATTTTCTAAAGAAAAAAGATCGTTTGTTTTATTTACCCAAGTCATCGGTGTCCCTAGGAAATAATGTGACTGTTCCGTGTCGCCCGATACTGTGTCGGCCGATCATGTTCTTTCAGCCGACAGGACCAGAAAAATTTAGTCGCCCGACCATCGTCTTAAATGTGACCTAGGCATAAGGGATAATAACATTTTCGTTTAATTCATCCCGTATTAAATTGGCCGATTTGGGATGAGGGCGAAGGGGCCGAATATAAAACGGGAGCACAAACGTCTTTGAATACAGTACATACATAATAATTCGATATCAAATATCAGTCATTTTAGTTAAATTACAGTTACGTATATTCAAATTACACGAGTCCGTCAGGTGGGACGTTAAATAGTGCCATATGTGAAGGATTACGACCCCATTGGCAAGGAAACATAAACTTCAACCGCCGAAATATATAACTGAAATATTGGTGAATCGGCATTAAACAATAACATTCAATCAAGTTTTATGAATATTTCATTCAAGTCAAACATCGAAACTTAGATATTCATTCAAAAAATTCTGGCAGAAAATTGGAGACTTTTAACAAAAAAGTATAATCATCGTGGAATTGTATTCTACACTTGGTAAAACATTGGCTATAGTTGAGTTTCTTCTGACATCATAAGAAATAATTCTTCTATATGAATGTTCTAGAATTACATATTTTGGACACCAAATAAATTAAATGCATCCGCCATCTTTTGTGCCCGTTAATAAATGCTGACAGATAATGGACTCAGTAAACAAGTTAATACTGATTTTCATATCTTTTGATTTAAGATGGGCTGTTATTTTTTAATCCTACTAAACAGCATTCATAACATATTTCAGTTTATTACCAAAACAAACGCATCTAATTCTAAAGCCGTATTAATATATATTTTCAAAAAAAAATAACACTCGTCAAATTCACTAATTTTTCTTTGATTAATTACAAACAATATTTTGTTAGAACATTCTCATTTGAAAAAGGGTCCATCAGTGTGGAAGAAGGTAAACATATAATATATACAGTCAAAGACCGAAGTCAAGTGCATGCATACTTTGTAATCAGAGGGCTTGTATGGTTGACATCAGTTTGGCAAAATGAGACAAGGGTATACATACTATACATTTGTTTTTTTAATTATCGTCTCATAATTTTAGAAAAAAAAAACCCGGAAATGTTCTCTTTTGGAGGACCAATGAAAAAAAATTTCCTGTCCTTGTTTCTTTTCATATGTTTTAGTATTTCAAGTACTTAATCATTTAAGTTACACTTGTGGAGTGATTTGTCTGCTTACGTAATGGCGTTCCTCTGGAAATTTGCGTTTTTAGCCATTTTTCCTACCTTTAATTCGCAATCTTTGCTATTCAATTGTGAAAAAGAACCCGACAAATGCAAAACAAACGGTTATTTTTACAGAGACAATAATCAGCTCAAGAGTCTCGTGAGAGGACAAGACAAAATTCTCAAGGAGATGAATCGATTTGGAAAAGTTTTAGAAGGAATTACTAATTGGATTTCTTCACTTGACAGTAAAGCATTTTTTTTCTTATATATTATATTATATATTTCTTTTTATATACTCTAGTTTAAATATTTGTCTTGAAATTTATTAATAAAATATTATTTAATCTAGCTTTTAATGAATCGTTATAATTCCACGGCAGCTCCGTGTGCAATAAAATATTAAAATGCAGAGGGCTGCCTACAGTCAATTGCAATTCTCTAGCAAGTACTAATTATAAGTATGAGGCTTTACCTCATAATATATCCCTTAATTGTTTGTGTTTCGTAGTAGCACCTTTGAAATTGTCGTCAGCATATATAGGAAGAACATACGAAGCTTTTTCAGACATATTTCATTATACATTATGTAAAAAATGCAAGAAATGAATCAATACTGTAAAGAATGCCAAAAGTCCTAAACCTACCAACACAAATTTTAAAAAAATTATACTATTCGGTCGTTGATGATAAAGATTGCCTATTACTGTCAATTTAGTTGTCATTTCTAATACATATATCATGATAATCATAGTTTTGTTTATGAATAGTGAAAAGTACTGCATTTTCAATGCTCTTTTTTTTCATAATACTGATAAAAACATAAAATCATTTGTTAATGTTGAACATTACTGATATCTATGGCACGCCAAATTCACAAAAATGAGATAAACCTAGTTTCACAATTGATAAACTAGGTTTATCGACTGTAAACTTATTAGAAAATTCAAAATCCATTCAATGTATTTTGAGATAAAAATAACCAAAACTAACATGCATACTTATTTTTCTTTAATTAAGGAAAAGCTTCAACATCTGAAGTCAAATAAAGTATCTTCACTTCGTCGGAAGGTGAAGGTAAAAAGAAACAAATGACAAATTTTAATTGCTTACTGAATTGTTGAAGAGTATCAAGTTTGCATCACTACAATATTAACAATGAAAAATGTCGTGGAGAGGCTCAGAAAATCCGTTTTAAGATCAATTTTAATAACAATTATAAACACAGACCTAAATTTAGAAAATGTAAAGTTGGAAAAGCCAAGATTAAAGAAGGATAAGCAAAAATAAAAGTCAAAATCATAAATTTTAAAATTGAAAATGCCAAGAAGCCAAATTTGAAATGGGAAATATTAATTTTGAAAAATATTACATGGCATATTATACCCTCACTATTGATTTGAATGGGTATACAATACATAACACAGGGTTATTTTTACTCTTTCACAATGATGTTGTCTTCTTTGAATTAGTCCTGTCTTAAATCCATAAAATTTTGTAGAGGGCGAAAGGAACGAAAATAAAGCGGAGTTGAAATTTTATCTGTATACAGTTTTATGAGTTACGCATTGATTCTTAACTAATAAGAAGGGCACAATTGCTAGTTTTCATTTGTTATTTTTAAATGAAATAAAAACAATAAACATGGCTATTTTGTTGAAGAAACGAAGGGAAACACTATCAATTTGTAAATCCAAAAATAAAATGAGATTTTCTATTTTTCTCTATATTCTATTTTTTTTTTATCATAATTTTTATTCTACCTTCTTTTTCATAGCAATCTACCCTATATCTATTTTATTTCCTTCCTGGATGAAATTAAAGATTTCATTTCGGATTATTTTTGCAATTTTTGCTTCCGTTTAAATTTTTAATCTTCATTAACTCTCTTCTACCATCTTTTTTACATATCATTTCTTAATTTTCGGAAGGCAGACTTTACAGTTGATCGAGATTTTACTATTCAGCCTTATGTTTTCCGTTTGAACATTTTAGTCATCTAATCTTTTAAAATCAATCCTATTTTACGATGTTAAATAAAAAAGTCACAGAATAATCATAGTGAAGTGAGTTTAGGATTAAAATCTTTTAAAATTGAATCTTTTCTTTAAGTTGTCCTATCTACTGCAAAATATGCAGAATGCTAATATTTTTCTTTTCTTAATTTGAATTTTTAAAATTCTCTTCCTCTCTGACACGTTTTATGAAATACACGTGTGAGACGTCAAAGTTCATGTTCCTATTAAATTCTCATCAGTTAAACAGAAAGAGAGAGAAAAGGGAGAATGAATGAAGTTTACAAATGAGCTGTATTACATGTGTATTGTTCCACACTGCATTTTGGTATACTAACAGGACAAACTATGGATAAGTCAAAGACTGAGATAGAGTATTTCCAATAAAGAAAAAAAAAACTTTTTCTTTATCAAATCATTTCAGATTTACATAAAGACTGCAAGGAACTACATGATATGGGTAGAAGAACGTCTGGGGTCTACAGTATCTATCCTAATTGGGATTTACTCCATAATAAGAAATCAGTACAAGTGTACTGTGATATGGATACAGCTGGGGGAGGTTGGACTGTAAGTAAAGAAAGTTAGAATTAAACATTGCTGATACTTTGATCATATTGAATAAAGTGTACGTTAAAAAGACCCAGAATGATTAGAAGAGTTTACAGAAATATTTCTTAAATCTCTATTCAGTCTTAATTCTTCTGTGGAGTTTTTCAGTGCAAATTTGAGTATTCAAATTAGACAAATATTTCAAAACATTTACTTCTACATTTTATGAATTCAACACACAAATTTGGATTAATTGTAATATGAAATATTAAATATAGGTAATACAAAATAGAGTTGATGGCAAGGTAAATTTCAGCAGAAGATGGCAAGACTATAAGTTTGGATTTGGGGATGTGTTGACGAGCTACTGGATAGGTGATATACTTTCTTAATGAATCTTAATTTTGATATAATTATGTGTATGAATGCAGTCTACTCTAAGCACGGTCTCAGTTAACATTTTTCAAGAAAATTATTTAATGTTTAGATCATAATTGCATTTGAATTTAGATAAATTCAAAATTGATATTTTGTAAATAGAGAGCTTTTAATTATCATCAAGAAATCTTTATATATATTATTTTTCTTCAAATAAATAAAAAAAAATGTAACAGGGAATGACGTCATACATGAGCTGACAAAGAATAACAGCAGTTCGCTGTATGTGAGCATTACAGGCAAGGATGGCACCACCCGTTATATACAGTATGACACATTCTCTATATCCGGAGAAGATGACGATTACAGATTGTACATCGCTGGAAACGCATTAGGAACATTAGGTCTGAAGAGGCATTTTATTTCTAAAATGAGATCATTGATAATATTAAGAGTCTGGATTCTTATCATATGCTAGTATATGTATTTCATAATATATTATAAACATTCTGTCAACTTTCTCGAGTGAACAAAAAAGAAAAAAGAAAAAAAAGAAAGAAAGTGGTAATATACTTTCGACAAGAATCAATTAAAGTAATTCACTCAATAAGTTTCATTTCAAGCTATAAGTATGTGGTAAGATTGAAACCAAATACGAAATATTAGATATTAATCACGTATATGCAATTTTTTTCATAGTTATTACCATATAATTAGTAAGTCTTTTTTTCAGAATTTTGAGTGTTATATAATTGTTTAAAACATACAAGATATCAATATTTCTTATTTTGCATAAATTTACAGACGATAGGATGAGATACGGTACGACCGACAACATAAACGGGATGAAGTTTTCTACCTATGACAAAGACAATGACCTCGATTCAAGTAACTGTACCGATATGATGGGTGTAGGAGGATGGTGGTTCAACGCTTGTAATGACGCCTACCTTAACGGACAGTATCCACCTGGAAAGTGGGAACAACCTTGGTTTCGTACATTTAATAAAGGATCACAGATTTCCAGTACAAGGATGATGATTAAGAGAAAATGATTTAGCATTCTTTAAAGTTTAGAGAGAATCAACTAAATTGTTGCGCATAATGTTCCATTAATTGAAACACCAGTCTGTATAAAATGATTTTTTAAAATAATGTATTAAATAGCATCAGTGCAAGCATCTTGAGTGAAGCAAAATTATTAAAAAGCATTAGTTCGCACATATGAGGTTGGTTAATACATCATTTTTTTTAAATTGATAAAGAAAATTGTAACAACACTTTAAAATCAAAAATTTTCTTGGGTACAACTTTTTTAAGTCTGAGAAAAAAATGGTATGCAGGGATTTGATCTCTTGGTTTGAGAAGTGTTGAGTAATTAATGCATATTAAAATTTACATTTTGTGGTGGTCATGAATTTGTAGATCTCTCCATGCTTGAAAAAAAAACGAAAATTAAATTGACACGAAAATGACACATTAATTTGTTGAAAATAATTCCAAAATTTATTATATCAAATCTAATTTGTTTGAACAAGTTCTAAAGAATTTTATGCAAGGAAAATGTTTACATGTGTTTAGCACATGTAAAACACGTACAAAGGGCACACATGTATATTGCTTTTATTTTTACCCATGTTGATGCTTTGTACTTTTTATATGGACTTTTGATTTCAATTCATTTCTTTATTTCCTCATATGAAAATCAACAACTCGTTGTTTCAGATTTAAATATATTTTTTTAGGTCCTAAATAGGCTACACTTAATAAATTAAGAATACTTTTTATAGCTATTTTGGAATTTGTTTTCACAAGTTTAATTCGTTTACAAAAATGAAATTCACTATAAGGAATTGAACAAATTACCTGTAAATATGAAGAATATCATTATGATACCAAATTTATTACATTTTAACAGTGAAATACTGTAATTTATCCATTGAATAAAAGTAATATCCTATCACAGTGTGAAAGGATATCAAAATGATATCCTGTTACAGTGTGAAAGAATATCAGAAAAGCGGGAATACTCTCGATTTTCCTTCCCTTAACCAAGACTGTTGTAAAAATACTCCTTAACCTGTTATAAGATGGAGAACGAGTTCATAAACAGTCTGTCATAAAATAAAACAGCGAAAGTTCCCAAATTATGTTGCTGAAATTCATGTTTACAATGTTTTTCACTAATATAGCAGAGACGTCTTAACCGCTCAACTATGACATCATGTAGCCTAAGACTGCATTACAAAAAAAGACGTAAGCAAAGGGAAAATCAAAGAAAATGTAATAAACAGAAAATTCAATGTTTTGTAGATGAATATGGAATTTATTTCACTCGTGAGACAGGATTTTTTTTATATTTTCACTCGTGCTTCGCACTCGTGAAAATATCAAATAATCATGTCCCACTTGTGAAATAAATTCCATATTCAACAACAAAACATTGAATATCCTCTATATATAAAGATCTTTCATAAATAAATGAAAATAATAATATTCGATAGAAATTGAAGTTAAAATAATTTTGAAAGTGGCTCTCTGAAGTTATACGATCGATTAATAGTCTATAATAACTTATGCTTATGGATATTATCCTGTAGAAGTCATTTATATGACCATAAGATTTCAAAAAGTATTAACTAAAGATAAAACTTGATGTGAAATGGTTGACATGTTAAATACATGGAATTATTGAAAATGAATGAGATCAACCAATATCGTTGGAAAAGTTAAAAAAAAAAACCAAAATCTGCATAACTGGATAATATCATTGTTGTTGATTTAATTACAAGTACTTCGGTTACATAAAATTATATTAAATAGTACAAATTTAATGTTTGATTTTATCATAATCACGTCTAAAACCATAATTTACCATACGAAAGACCTTCGAAACTAAAATAATATCGTATTTATTTTAGTGATAACTTTGACATTTTGGTAAACATTCTGTCTCTTTTGTGGTAACTTTTAACATTTTAATTAACTTCTGTTAATGTGACTTAGTTATGACATTTATTTTATTTATTTAGGCGAGTACCGCGCTCACTTTTGAAAACTTTTTTTCCCAATTATTTGAATCAAGTGAGAAAGATTCTAACATTTTGTAAATGCTTTTGTAATCTTATTCCTGAATGACGTATTCTTAAAATCAACTCATCTACAATCTGGGTATGAATACACAGATTCGATCAAAATTACTTGTCTCATCAGACAGTTTCAAGGTCACGATACCTCGTGGTCGTGCTGTCCATATACGTATTTGCTTTTGTAATACTTCTCTTTTTCTCATGTTAATTTTTTTATTTTCTATTTATTTGACGTTATGTTTTGTCTACTGGGTAAAATAATTTATGTATATTTTTTCTAGACACTAATGTCATTACCGTTTATTTGCTGTTAAATAAAGATATAAAATATTAATGTGAACCTGTTTTCAGAATTCTGCTGGGTTACATTTACTTTAATAAACTGGAGTAAATTATAGTTAACTCGAGGTCACTTAGTTATTTTAATTAGGATAATCTGTGTGCAGATACTCACTTCCATTCCGATCTTAGGATATACTTTCGAGGCGAGGACCATCAAACATCTCTCTCTCTCTCTCTCTCTCTCTCTCTCTCTCTCTCTCTCTCATTCAATTCTTTGTTTTTATTTGTAAATGTGTATATGTATATGTTATCTTCATCCCATTTAACCTATCAATAAACCTGAAAAATACACGTTATCAGTCTAGACATGTGAATGAGAGCATGTGTTCTATTTAAGCATCTATCTTCAATTCATGACGAAACAATCAAGTGACTATGCAATTATACAAATACGAGGGTTGATCCAAAAGTAATGTCACTGCGTCAATATATTTAATATTTGGCGTCATATTATCAAATATTTTATACCAAAAGATGCATAAAAATAAATCTAATCAAACTTGAAATTTTCATTGAATAATGTTTAATTAAATTAATTTTATAGAGTTTAAAATATTAAACATAAGGGGTGTCGCCGCGTCACAAGTTAACGTCACGTTTTAAAGTGTAAATTCTTAGAAAGAGGAAAGACAAACGCATTAAAAAGCATCTATAAAAGCATCTTATCACCCAATATTTTTAAAAGACAAAATTTTTCGACATTTTCTAGCATTAAGTTAAAAATAAAATGACGTCATTGCTTTTTGATAATAAACATTGTTGTTTTAATCTGCTGTATTGAACAAAGGAGATGTCGAAATGGAGAATAACCGCTGAAACGAGCTGTGATGCATTTTTGCTACAAAATGGGGAAATCGCCCGTAGAAACAGTTACGATGATTAATCAGACATACAGAGGAGATAATATAAATAAAAGACTTGTTTATAAATGGTTTCAGCGATTTTAGCGGGTCATGGGTCACTGAATGATCAGCAAAGGACAGAAAGACCGAATAAGGGAGGTCGGACGGAAACGTTCACTTGTGTCTGGCGGTGTCCAAAAATAAAGACGGTTAGACAGTTACAGCGATATGAGAAACTTTAAGTTTGTCTTATGGTACTATTCAAGAATTTTGACAGAAGACTAAATTATATATAGAATGAGTGTACAATGGGCGCCAATAATTCTTATAAAAAGATGTGTGAATGTGTTAGTAAATCTCAAATATTTGTATACGAAACAAAGGGTAAGCGTTCAAGTATATGACAGCGCGTATCCGTCAAATGACGTTATTTAGGTGCGGCGACTACCGTAATTGCACTTTGTATATAATTCGATATTTTAAAAAGTATAAATCATTTTAATTTGAATTTTTCAGGACTGATTTGTAATAAATATAGCTTCGATCATGTATAATTTCGTTGATTTACGTCGTCTAGTAGAAATTTTATCGAGGTTGTGACATTACTTTTGGATCAACCCTCGTAACATGTATTTTCAAGGCAAGTAACCATACTTTATTCAGTTTAGAGTGGGATATTATACAGTTAAAGTATATCATTGAGGGAGTTAGCAAGATTCCAGTTCCCCAAGACCAGGACTATTTCCCGAGGCGTACCCGAGGGAAATAGTCCTGGTTGAGAAGAACTGGAATCTTGCTAACTCCTCAATGATATACTTTAACTGTTTTATTATACCGATACAAATTTGAATTGTTAAGATAACATTTTTTTTTTTAAATTTAATTTACAGATAAACTAATCATTATTCTCATAACTAAGTAAAATCACAATATATATTTATTGAAAAACTAGAGGATTACGGATAACCGCGAATTAGCATAATAGCTTTCAAGGGAAGGATTAGCTCAAAAAAAAACTAACGCACGAGGATTAGTATGACTAGCTTTCGAAGGAGGGATAAGCTGAAAAAAACTAACGCACGAGGATTAGTATGACTAGCTTTCGAAGGAGGGATAAGCTCAAAAAAACTAACGCACGAGGATTAGTATGACTAGCTTTCGAAGGAGGGATAAGCTCAAAAAAACTAACGCAAGAGGATTAGTATGACTAGCTTTCGAAGGAGGGATAAGCTGAAAAAAACTAACGCACGAGGATTAGTATGAATAGCTTTCGAAGGAGGGATAAGCTAAAAAAAAAATAACGCACGAGGATTAGCCGATTTACAGCGAATTCTAGGGATTGTTCACATCTAATCACTTTATAGAGTAAACAATCAGTAGAAGTATAATAATCTATGTTAACTTAATTATAATATTTATTTTTAATTATGATAGCTCTACAAAATAAATTAACTAGGAGAGGTGTCTTTTGGTGCCTTGCTAACTATTCGCATGATTCTTCATCGTATATTACTTTCCTCAACGAAAAAAAATTCATTCTATTGCTAACTACAACCATGTTGTAAATTTTGAATTCACTAGGGGGAGGTAAATTCAAAATTTACACCATGATACTACCGTAATAGTTTATTATAGCTAACTATACTTACTTTTGTATTAATGTTTTACAAGCGCTAATCAAAGTATTTTTTCTATGGATTTCAGTTTGGTATAAATTACGTTTTCAAATTCATACATACACATTTTGCTATATTAAATGGAAATATTAAAATTAATTTACATATATTTTTTTTATTTTACATCGTTGTTATCAAGTTAAAGAGTTTCAGATTAATGTTACAAAGTAATTCAAAGCATCAAAATTTTCATTATAGGTAAGTTAACAATAGTTATCTTTAGTAAAGTATATTTAACTACAAGTATAGTAAAATTTTGCAAGGATAAACAGTGCTACGGACGTAAAAATACAAACACGTTTCCATTGCTTTGATCACTTCTTGCAAGTACAAACATGTACAGGCAATTTTTTTTGTATGAATATGAAATATTAAATTTGCACGTGAAAATTTCAAAAATGTACTAGATAAAAATAGATGAAAAACAGTTTGCACTTATACCGTGCAATAAAATGGTCTATGTATTTTATTATAGGATTTTTTTTTTTAAATTAAACAGTTTCACAATTTATTCTGGTCTTTAGTGACAGAATGTTAACATATAATATGAATATACAAGAATACGTCAACTGATTATTTTTTTAATGCAAACTTTTGAGACAGGGTTCCAAATTGTTCATTTTCGACCACATATCATATTTTCTCAAAAAGAAAATGCTAAGTCAATTCTATAATTAAACTATAAATGTAGTAAAATTGCTGCTATTACAATTTTTGACTGGACAAGGCAAAATCTCAAAGGTTTGCCTTTTAGAATAGAAACAAACTATTCAAACACAAGGGATATTTAACCTCATAAAGGGTTAAAGTAAAGTTGCTTTTTACACGATATCATTTTCTTAAATACAGCAAGAATTATACTATAGACCACCTTTCATTGAAATTAAATAATATATAAAATTTCGTTCTTAATAAGCGAATATGATTTACTTAGGCGTTCATGTTATCAAAGGATTTAAGGAATCACTAAATGTTGCTTAAAATGATGTAAAAAGTAATGAAAACACCAGATATTAATTAAAGACACTAAGATATCTCTCATCATCTCAAACCACGGTCTGGAGTCCGCCTATGTCACTCTCCCGGGGCTGCTTGGTCACAAAAAGCTTCATAATTTTAAATCATCGCGCCGTTTGTGTGACGTCATCATATCTCAGGTTTTATGGTCGATACATTGACCTTGTCAGCAAATACAATTTATCATTGAGTCAAATGCTGACTAACGTTTTTCATACTAATTGTTAGTCCATTATTTATACACTGAAGAGACGACTGATTTTTCCGTTATTTCCCGATCATGACAAGGAGCAAACGCGGTTGTGACCGGTCAGCAGGGGATTCTTACTCCTCCATGTTATCTGATTCCACTTCTGATGTTTTGGAGGTCCGCGTGTTTGCTCTGCTCCTATATTTGTATTGTTTTATGGATTTTTATATTGAAAACTGTTCGTTATCTCCATTTATGTCCTTCTTTATTCACCAATGAAAATGACTCTTTATATTGCAATTGAATTTAACGGTATATGCAGAAATGTTATTTTTCAGCTATTCCTCACTCGCATTGGTTAATATTTTAATGAGCTTCGAAATTTTCTCGTCTCATTTAGCTACAACCAGAATGAAAGAGTACCGAATTTCTGACGATTAATGTCCCTTTTAAGCGAATGCTCCGTAACATATTTTATCCTTTAATTCTTTTAGTTATTGGCCCTATGGTAAGAACAGTCCCAGTATATGAAATAAGTCAACAACCTTCAAACCACGAGGAACACAAAACGAGGTATATTATTGATCAACAAGTTGATGGAACAAGGATATCAGCAGTCTCGTTTCAAGTAATCATTTATTGAGTTATTTGGTGGATACTATGATCTCACCTCTGATGTTTTGGAGTTCTGTGTTTGCTCAGCTTCTATTTTGTATTGTTTTGTGGACTTTGATATTGAATACTGTTCGTTATCTCCATATCCTTCATCCACGAAATTAAAAGGTACATTGAATTGAGAAACGTGTTATTCATTTCATTTGTATAGTCAATGCTTTTGTTCACGAAATTACGTATCCTTAAAATCGTCTGTTGTACAAAATCCACGAAGATTGATGAAACCTTAGTATTAAAGTATATTCATTTTCGTAGAGACGCCAATCATTTCACTGTATTTCAAAGCGTTCATTAGTTCATAATATATTTTTCTTTCTGTTCTGTTCATTAAATGTGATTGATATTAATAAAATATATATGTGAAAGTATAATTAGCAACAGAGCACATAAAAAATTATAAACGGCTCAAGTACATTAAAGTTAAACTTCATCTCCCGATCTTTTAATTTTAAATCATTTTCCCGACCATTTATGAAAGGGTAATTGTTGTAAAAATATTCAGAATTGATTCCATTCTCAAGCTCTTCACACAATATAAGGCAGACATACTGCAATAATAAAGGCTCAAGAAGAGACTGATTAGAAATACAGGCTATGTGTGGACCAGCGTGCGTTCGTAAACAGGACGATGCGCTTTATAAAATTCAGTGTGATTATCAAGATTTACCTGTTCCTGACAGTAGCAGGAATTGTTATATATGCAACCTTCTATATGTGTGGAATAGCAGAAAATACTCGAAAGAGCGTTCCATCAGTTTTGAACAGTTCCATCGAATACGAAATTCGGAGTGTTGACGTAGGTAGCTTAACTGTTACACTTGTGTCTGAAACTGTCGCTAAAGTTGAGGAGAGTCCAGATTTCTGTCCACAGACTCCACTTTATCTAGGTAAGTTAAGGATTTTTTTTTTAATTGTTATTCATTCCTCTTCAAATTCTAGCGTCAGTGAGATTATATTATCAGAGACACATTTTTTTCAGATAAAAATTCTGTTTTTAGCTTTTAAAGATATTTTTAAAACTAAAACCCTGTTTTCATATGTAGTTTATTAGATGTACAACTTCGTTACATAGGATAAAGGTATTTCCTCTGACATTAAGTAACATTATTAGAAATTAAGATTAATTTGATGACGTGATAAATTTTGTCAATTCTGTAGAATAATTCTATAATTGATATTCAACATTTTTTTTTAACGTGAACTTACTTGGTACACCTATACAATGAATATTCTTGTCGAGTTTTTATATCGTTTTCAATAAGATAATTGAACAACGGAAAATATGTTTTATTTCAAATAAGCAATACCAAATTATTCTTTCACTTCAGAGAAAAGATTTTCACGAAAAGTTAACTTTTTATCTTTTATATGATACATGTTATATATTGCTGCGAGTTATTATATGTACATAGCAAGATGTCATCTCGCGAAGATTACAAGGTTGTATAATATAAAATGTCACGTTGTTATCATTAAGTATGTTTTTGTTCGTTCCCTTTCTACAGAAAATCTTCCATCATCAAACTAAGAGTTTTTTTAATGCGTGAATGCGACATTTCAACCAATCTCTTAAAATCACCAGGGATCACTCTTCTGTTTTCACTTTTATACAAAGTATATGCTTATCATAAAATTTTGATGTTACATAAAAATTCTGGAATGGTTATTCCCGAAAGCATAACATAAGCAATTTAGTTCGTATTTCTTCTAAGTTTTAAAACACACAAATTATACAAGGCATATTAAAGATAAAGTGAACAAATAATTGTCTTTTAAACCTTGACACTTGTGTGGTTTCCTCTTAATAATTTTAAAAACCCATGGGTACTCCTTCTGTTTTCTTGGATTTCAAGAGAAAGTTTTCTTTTCTAATTATTGAAAGGATACAGATGCACTACATTTCACAGCAAAATTCTTTATATCGTTTACATTTAACAACTTAAAGCCGCTTGGTCCGATTCTAATCGCTAAAAATATATCTTTGTTTTTCTTTTTGAAAAATAATTGTCCATAAATTATTTCAACTTTTGTCAAATTATATCCCCAAAGTCTTTTTCTTTTTAAAGATATCAAAATTCAAAAGTTAAAAAAATAATTTTTGTTAGGTCACACAAAAAATAATCCTTTGTTTACATTGCGTGAAATCACCTTCGAAAAATAAAATTTATCGCTTACAAGTATAACTCATGAAGAACAGACCCGAGCATATTTTCCACAACAAAGTGTACACAGGCAATATTCTCCCTCTTTACTAAACCCCCTTTTTAAAAAATCTTTAAAAATATCTGATTTTCCTTTATTCTGTAAATATGCATATTAAGATAAAAATTACTATGGATAATATTCAATTAATTTCTTAATTTTTAAAAGATATATCATGACTTAGGATTCTACTAATGGAAAAAAAATACTCGGGTTTGAATTCTCTTCATAATTAGATATAACCAATAAAAGTATTTTTTTTCAAAGGTAACTTCAAAACCTATCTTAACTTCCCGTCAGGAACTGCTGTTTGTCAACAAGGTTTTTGGTCTATGTTTTCCATGTAAGGATTGTTGTAATAAACTATTAAATCAATCTTACAATTAATTTTTATATATTATCTATGTAATGACATACTTTTATTGTTTAAGATAATATGTGCCTGTTTCGGATGAAGCGGCTTTAACATACATTTGAGGGATACCGGTATTGTAAAATTAAGTCATTCTACGGTCAAAGAAACTTTGAGAGAAATTAATTCAATTGTCAATGTTGCACATTGCTTGAGGTATTCAAATTTTGACTCTGTGATTCCTGTGATTCTTTCATAAAACTTTTTTCAAAGACCAATGAAGATGGAAAATGTGAAAGTTAATGACTGTATACTCCCGGATATCAGAACTGTTGGTGTCTTGTAAATTCGTTTTTTGTTATGATTAAATATAAGATAACGAACAGTATACAAACTCAAAAGTTCATTTATTAATACAACATTGGAGCAAACCAGACACGAACCTCCAAATAATCAGTGGTCGGATCAGGTGCCATGGAGGAGTGAGTGTCCCCTGACGACTGCTCGTGTTTTGTTGATATACAATAGGATAGGAGTCTCAGGTATTAATTTAGGTAAGGAGTTTTGTTAGATATAGGAAATGTTAATTTCAAGTTAATATTTATTTATACAAAATTTGCAAAGTAAACTGCTCCTAAAATGATATATACTTCATAAAAGAAATGCATCTTTATTATATACATTGTTTCAAACTGGAAAGTTAATTAGGGTTTCAGGAAAAATAAAACTTAGGTCACAGTACATTTGGGAAACTTTCTTATCTCTCTTGACCCTCTGCCTCTCTCCTTTGTCAAACTAGATCATCCATTCAGAAACGTTATTCTCCCTATCACTCTAACAGATAACCCCTCACAGATACCGCATAAAAGTAGATGCGTGCTCGATAATTATAATCTTTTATTTCCGAATAAATATTCATCTTTTCCTTTAACTTTCTTATAATTGAATTTTGGTCGATATCCGAACATAGATCGCTTTTTCCTCCCGTTGCAGCCTACTTCCTACAACATACGGTCACGACTGATGACAAATAACGGTGGTTCTAAGAGGATGATGTAGCAATCAATAGATGCCTGTTCTAGTAACTGGATTCTAATCAAATTTATTTGATGCATATCTTTTTATAAGGATTCAGTTCCCCCAAAAGTCGGTTGTAATTTGTTTTTGACATCTCATTTCCATTATGAAATGTAATGTTATCTTGGTTTCAATTTATATCGCTTGCTTGATTTTCCTCTGGTCTGACCTTATATTGATTGCTAAGAACAGAGTCGATTTCTGGTAGAAAATACAGAATTGTTCATGCTCTTGCCAGAAATGCTAGTGGTACATATGTAGTCACGGACATCTTTTATTACACTGCTTTAATTTTGGAAATAATTTCAAAAAGATAATTAGATAAATAACTTTATCGATGTTATTTAACTTTTAAAAAAAGAACTAACTAAAGAGAGAATGCAAAAGATAAAATTGCAAGAATGTGCTTGTTTAATGACCATGCATGCATTGGTGCTGAAACCTAACGAAATTTTATTCTGCAAGTCGTAATTATCTCCTGTGACGAAACACATGCATAAAGTAAACAAAACAGTGAAACATTTTAAAGTTATGTTCAATTAAGACGTAGTTTTCCCAGATAAACATTACTGCTTGATTTTAAAGGAATATATCTTCCTTTTGCTTCATTTCAGAGGGGCAGCGGAAATTGGACATGAGACCTTGTTTATTGGCAGAATGCAATATAAAAGCCTCACAGTTTGAGGAAAAATCAATGGATATGTGTAACTTAATGCTGTGTAATAAGTCAGTTTGTGCACAAGTCAAATGTGTGAACTCTACTAATACTTCTTCAATCATTTACACGAATTATATCGTAACACTAAACACTACCTTAGAAGAGTGTCTATATGATAGCAATACAACACTTCAACAGTTTCATAGATTTGGAGGACAATGGAGGCCTTCACAGTGTATTCCTGTACGACATTTAGCCATTGTTATACCATTCAGAGACCGTGAGGAGCACCTGTGTATTCTCCTCAAAAACCTTATACCGATGCTAATGTTGCAATTAACTGAGTTTAGACTTTTTGTCGTAGAACAGGTACCAAGAGTTTGTTTTTATGTGTTAAAAAATGGGGGAAAACTTGATCATTTGTAAATGTATATAGTAAAATATCGTACTCATCTCTGTTAACTGATTCTTAATAATAGTGTATCCTTTCTGCACTTATTTTAGACAGGAAATGGTACATTTAATAAGGGAAGGATAATGAATGCAGGTTTCTTGGAGGCCATGAAGACGTACAATTTTGATTGCGTCATATTTCATGACGTCGATCTTATTCCGGAACATGATGGGAATCTTTACGATTGTGGAGATCATCCGCGCCACCTATCAGTGGCTATTGACAAAATGAGCTACAAGTAGGTAATGATTTTCTGAACCTTTGATGTATTCCAACAGTTCACTTTTATACCTTCTGAAATGCAATATTTCAAATTATTATTCTCCGCCAATGTACGTGTAAGGGTTCTTGGGGAAATGGGCACAAGTACAAGTGTATGGTTAATTTTTTTTTTTTTTTAACTTTATTTTCCATTTTTTATATAAATGATGGTGTTATCAATAAAACTCACAATTGTCCGCCTTTGTATGATTCAGGGGTCGATAGATTTCTACTCTGGAAGGAAAGAGGAAAGGGCTGATATTTATTTTATATATTTACTAAATGAATATTAGAATACTGCTCACGAATCAAAGCAAACCATTTCTAATATTAAGTACTTAATATGATCTTTAGGATAAATGACAGTTGTTTTACCCAAAAATAATCAAAAACTCCCAGTGGAAATCTATTTTTGTCACAATATTTCTTCAATCAAAATTAACTGGCACGGAATTCTTAGTCCAATCAAGGGACAAAAATTTCGTGTCAGCTGATAACATTGTAGAGCATTATCTTCATTGTCACAACTTTTTATACCAACTCGCTTTTTCTCAGTAATTGATAGTTTGCCAATATTGGCTGGCCGTGTAGTCATTCTAGTCAGAGTGTTATCCCACTGGGAAATCATCTTGATAATATTAATATGGACTCTTTATTTTGCTCACACTAAAGGCGACATTTTCCTCCTATGTATTTAAGGAACAATTGTATGAAGATATTATGATGAATTTGATAATTATAATATCAGTATCCTGTTGCTATTTAGAAATTAATAAGACCGTTCCTTATATACTGTTTACCCTTTTATATACTTAAACAATTTAAAACAAATATATCATTTCGTACATTGATTTACCATGTATCTCTCGATACATTCTGCGTAATATATGAATCGATATGTTTTATTCTGTTCATTTTCAGACTAATGTACTCCTTTTTGGTAGGTGGGGTGTTAGGATTTAGGCCAGACCAATTCCGCCGGGTCAATGGATATTCTAATGCTTTTTGGGGTTGGGGCGGCGAGGATGACGATATGGCACTAAGGTGAGAATTTAACGCATGCAGAACTATTGAAGCTTAGATTAAAAAAAATCATTTTAATAATACTGTATACATGTTTATTTCCGCCCTTTTACACCTGCACAAATGTCCCATTACGAATTTTCCCTGTTCTATTTAAAAGATAATGCTGTTTTCTTCTAATTTGCCCTGTTTTAGATTCGCCATTTTTGGATGAGGCTGAAAAGGGCCAATATAAGACGAAGGCAAAAATATCCCTGTGTACTGTACTTTATTTCATCTAAATGACATTCGTTTTGGTTAAATTTTACTTACACAAATGTAGTTGCATATTCAGGTTGATTAGTTTTGGCAAAGTTGAATAATATCGAAACTAAGAGATACATTAGAGTAATTCTGAGAGAAAATTGGAAGTATTCCCAAAAAACAATTCATCCTTAATAATGTGTACATTCTGTGAAATTGTTTCTTACTTATAACAGAAGACTTGTTAGATTTAGTTGAATTTCTTTTATCTATCAACGTCATCACACAATTTTAAATATTTCTAACTACAATGGACATTTTATTTTTACAGGATTGTATACTCCGGACTTAGAATAATGCGTCCACCAGTGACTGTTGCCCGTTATAAAATGTTAACGCATGAAAAGAGAAAACCATGGAGTAAAAGGTTGTATGTTGTTTTTGATATCTTTTTGGTATCCGTCACATTTGCATAATATATTTGTGTCTTTAAGCTGTATTTTAAAGCATTTATAGAAATACCCTATAAATACCGGAATTAATTTTAAAGCTTCTATATTATATTTCAGGATCGCCATGTTGCGGACTTCTAGGCTGAGGATGCGTCAAGATGGAGTAAATAGTGTGTCTTATAAAATTGTTTCCTTCAAGACGTATGCCTACTATACTAAAATAGAAGTTGATGTTGGAAAACAATGAATATTTTTTTTATATTAAAATTATACAGTGTACTTATTTTATGTATTTGCAAGACTCGTCTGACGCTTTGTGGCCAAATAATATTGTTAAGTTGTTTTATCTAGATTTTTATGCAATAAAATTACAAGTCATACAGCATTGTCTCTTCTCATCTGTCAATCTATCATTCCATATTTTTTTTCTCGCAGTGCTGGTAAATATTTAACAGCTTTATGTAATATTTTTCTATATTTCTTTATATTTTGATTATAACAACTTAACCCAATTCTTGAATTGCGGGCTTATATGACCATACAGAAGATAGGTTAATTTAGCTATGATTGTATTGTGAATTCAGAATTCAAGTTCTAGCTTGTATGTTTTTTTTCATCAAAATTTATAACCCTTAGACTTCAAGCAATCCACTTTTTTCTGAATTATTTTACTTTGCTTATAGAAAATCAGCTGATTTTAAACGCATTTCTTTTTGTTGTTAGCTTACAGATCAAGTTTAAGTTCCTTGTCGATTAAACCTTTAACAAGTTTTTAAAAACTATATTTTTATGCATGACCACTCACAGAAACAGAACTTACAATTAATAGTGCATACTTGCTATTCTATGTCACTTGATCTCACCTTTGATTTTTCAGAGTATGTGTTTGACCTGCTTTTATATCATCTGGAAAAAGGTCTATTTTGAGGACAGCCGTGTATGAATCTTATGTTCTACAATTTGTCTTTAAAATGTCCGTCAAATTTTGATCTTATAATTAGTTGGATCGGCAAAACGTCATATTATTGGCCATAAAATTTGAACACTGTTGACTTCAAATATTTTTCACTAGTATGACCAAATTTAGACACTATCATACATGAAGATGGAAAGTGACTTTGTGAATCAAAACACCTATATACGAGGGCTGTTCGAAAATTATTCAGACATTGTGCATATCTTGCTTTCCAATGAACGTCTTTCGGTGAAAATTTGCATATACGTTTGACATACACTAAGAATCAATAAAAGCAAGAAATATTTTACAAATATTAAATATTTTCTCTACAATGGTACATGTATATACATGCGTCGATAGTAGGGGTACCCGGAGTAGTCACGAAATCATATATTGAAAATACAAAACACCAACGTTCTAACTCTTCGTGGACCCATAATAAGAGCAAAAATAATTCAGTTTATGTGTATAATTTTTAAGTTTTATTTCAAATTCATCTTGTGCAACTTTGATAAAATTTTAATCAGATATAAGGAGATCATAAAAAATCAAGCGCGGTAGAGAAATCTGCTAACAACGACAAAATAGATTTTGACGTCAAGGGCGGAGCAGCTAACATACTTAAAATTCTGTGTAGCGCAATGTAGAACTCTTTTTCCAGATTGAAGGACCCGCTTAAACAATAAAAATGAAAACAAAATGTGTGAAGGGTTGCTATTTCATTAGTGTACATTTTCTTTTTACAATTAATTCAACCAGAGTGAAATTAAAAGCTCTGGACAACCATGAGCTATTACGCACGGTATTAATATCCTTACGGTATTAATATCGTTGATCTGCGTTGCATAAATCGGCACTGCTTGGTTCTAAGTCATCCTTACCCACAAATGAAAATTTTACACTGGGGTAGCAACAGCATACCTTTTTTAAGAATACTTTAAGAAAAGAGACTGTGTGATTTTTTAAAAACCTTATATGTAACAAGAGGCCCAGGGGCCACAACGCTCACCTGAGCACATCGGGCTTGAATTTACCCCCCCCCCCCCCCCCCCAGGCGTTCATCATTTGAACAAACTAGAATCTACACTACCTGAGGATGATTCCATATAAACAACACTAATCGTAGCTTTGAAGTACTTGAAAAGAAGATTTTAAAAGGTTTCCCTATATATCCCTATGTAAAACTTGGATGGTCCATTTTGGCCCCACCCTAGCCCCAGGGGTCATGATATGAACAAACTTGAATCTACACTATCTGAGGATGATTCCACATGAATTTCATCTTTCCTGGCCCAGTGGTTCTGGAGAAGAAGATTTTTAAAGATTTTTTCCTATATATTCCTATGTAAAATTTGGGTCGGCCATTTTGGCCCCACCCTAGCCCCAGGGGTCATGATTTGAACAAACTTGAATCTACACTACCTGAGGATAATTCCACATGAATTTCATCTTTCCTGGCCCAGTGGTTCTGGAGAAGAAAATTTTTAAAGATTTTTCCTATATATACCTATGTGAAACTTGGGTCGGCCATTTTGGCTCCACCCTAGCCCGAGGGTCATCATTTGAACAAACTTGAATCTACACTACCTGAAGATGATTCCACATGAGTTTCATCTTTCCTGGCCCAGTGGTTCTTGAGAAAAAGATTTTAAAAGATTTTTCCTATATATTCCTATGTAAAACTTGGGTCGGCCATTTTGATCCACCCTTGCTCCCGGGGTCATGATTTGAACAAACTTGAATCTACACTACCTGAGGATGATTCCACATGAGTTTCATATTTCCTGGCCCAGTGGTTCTTGAGAAGAAGATTTTTAAAGATTTTTCCTATATATTCCTATGTAAAACTTGGGTCGGTCATTTTGGCCCCACCCTTGCCCCGGGGGTTATGATTTCAACAAATTTAAATATACACTACCTGAGGAAGACTCCACATGAGTTTCGTCTTTCCTGGCCCAGTGGTTCTGGAGAAGAAGATTTTTAAAGATTTTTCCTATATATTCCTATGTAAAACTTGGGTCGGCCATTTTGATCCATCCTTGCCCCTGGAGGTCATGATTTGAACAAACTTGAATCTACACTACCTGAGGATGATTCCACTTGAGTTTCATCTTTCCTGGCCCAGTGGTTCTTGAGAAGAAGATTTTTAAATATTTTTCCTATATATTCCTATGTAAAACTTGGGTCGGCCATTTTGGCCCCACCCTTGTCCCGGGGGTCATGATTTGAACAAACTTGAATCTACACTACCTGAGGATAATTCCACATGAGTTTCACCTTTCCTGGCCCAGTGCTTCTTGAGAAGAAGATTTTTTAAAAATGCCATTAATTTTTCTCTAATTCATAATTATCTCCCCTTGGAAAAGGGCGTGGCCCTTCATTTGAACAAACTTGATTCCCCTTTACCCAAGGATACTTTGTGCCAAGTTTGGTTATAATTGGTCCAGTGGTTCTTGAGAAGAAGATGAAAATGTGAAAAGTTAACGACGACGACAACGACGACGACGACGACAACGACTACGACGACGACAGACAACGGACAAATTTTGATCAGAAAAGCTCACTTGAGCCTTCGGCTCAGGTGAGCTAATAAAAAAGAAGGAATAGTATTAAACGTTTCCCAATCTTTTCAAATGCGAAATCATCTCCGGCTGACGTGACTTTAAATGACGTAGCGATGCTGCTCCGGGTCGATAGACATATGCATATTTATTATTTCACCAAAATGTATTTAATTATCACAGGAATTAGAAATTTTGCGAAAGTGTTTTATTTGTTCTTTGTAAAATGTTTATGAATTTTCATGAAATTATCTCCGTCCTTTATGGAGTAATTGTAATTTTCTCAATAATTTTCGAATAGCCCTCGTATATCTACAGTAACTATAAAATGTAAATCCACTGGATATTATTTCCTTTATTTCTTATGAAGACTACATATTGCCTTTCATTAACTCATAAACGACATTAAGAAAGCCACCTGCATAGATTTCTTGAACAATGTCTAGTTATAATCTATCATCTATGGATACAATGACATAAACGTCTTTAATACGATAAAACATATGGAGAAAACAAACAGTATTCAAAATCAAAAATCCATAAATCAATACAAAATAGGAGCAGAGAAAACACGGACCTCCGAAAAATCAGAGCTGGGATCAGGTGCCATGAAGGATTGAGCATCCCCTGTCTACCGGTCACATCCGCTGTGTGCTCCTTGTCATGATGGGGAAATAACTGGAAAATTCGTGTAAAAATAATGGACTCGCAATTAGTATGAAAAACATCAGTCAGCATTTGACTCAATGATAAATTGTATTTTCTGACAAGGTCATTGTTTCGACCATAGAAATTACGAAATGATGACTTTAATCAAGACTGTTGATATTCTTGTTTCATCAACTTGTTTGTCAATAATTTACGTCCTTCTAGAAATCGTTCAAACGCTCTTGCGTATACATGTACGTATCAAGTGAGATATATAAACTCCGCATGCAATTTATAAAGGTATACTGCTGCATAATTAAGGAAATTGACGATTGATTTATCATGTTTATCATAGAGCTTTATTGTTAGATTATCAATATAAGAGTGGAAATTACCAATGTTCCTTGATTAATACGTCGTCAATATACCTAAACGTCAATTCAAAGGCCACAGCGAGTGTTTTCTTCTTTTCACCCAAATGGCATAAGATTGTGGACAATTTCTGCTTCATATGGATACAAAAATATGTCTGCAATAAAGGGGTGTAATTGGTTCCCATGGGAATTCCAATAGATTGTTGGAAGACCTGGGCTTCAAAAACAACAGAGATAGTGTCAATCAGAAACTCAAGCATCGTTATAAATATATGTCAACTTCAGAGTACTTGTGTGTACAGTCACGATGATTTTTTAACAAATTAATTTTGCAAATGGCCAATGACAAGGTAAGTAAATTTAAGAGTTCCATTTTTAATTGCAAAGCAGCTGTCAATGATATCAAAAGGCCTGGTCAATAATTTATCGTGGAAAATTGGTTGTGTATATATAAACTTGAAAGGTCGTTCAGTTTGTAAGGTGTTGATTTTGGTAAAATCTTGTGATTTTAAATTGTCCAAAGGTTCCTTGGAATTTTTAAGTATCCACATCTGATTTACACCACTTCTTGAATATATTGTTGTATGGTACTCTTGAAGTTTCTCCTTCCCTGCTGTTAATGTCTTAGTGAGAAGTAAAGAAAGGGGGCTGGTTTGAACAATTACTGGAACCCGCTATATATCTTTCTTTGTAGGGATTTTTATGAAGTAT